AACCATTTTTTAAAGTTAACTTTTTTTATAGGACCCCTAAAAACCCCAAAAAATGCAATGAGGTGCCCATAATAAATCACTAGTATTAAAAAATTGGGTATTAATGGAAGTCTTCTGAAGAAAAACAAAGTTTTCTTAGCGAAAAACATTGATTTCTAAGAATTCCATACCATTTCCACAAAAATTGACTTTTCTCCATATAAAATTCATGGAAAACTTTGAGCGCTAGGGATGTGAGCATTAAAATTCCGACTTTACTCTTTTACATGCATTTTTGGACCACCCTAAGTACATACACACGTACATATAAGCAATCGGTCTGAGTTTGTAAGCACATTATCTCACTCAGATAAAATTCCAACGGCTTGTAAATACTACAACCGCCTTAGTGCCATTAGGCAACGCGGCAAAATGTTCATATGATGCCTTGAGCGCCAGAGTAGCCTAACTGACATTTCAAAAAAAGTTGAGGTGCACCTAACTGCTCGTCTCCACAGCATAAAGTTTATATCTTGATACATATGTCAGAATATAATTTGCCAATGGAGACCGCTCATTGCCTTTCGAGAGCAATATATATCAGAGCTTATATCTTGCCATCTATTGCCGGCAATTTGGTAGTTTGACAGCTACATTTTCATTTGCACGAAAACTTCGTGGCTGCAACATCATTATTATTTTAATATAAAAGCAAAAATTGAGCTGTTTCCTGTTAAAATATTTGTAATTATGTATTTGGATGTAAAATAGCCTATTTTCTCAATTTTTTAAGCGATTAAATCCGGCAAAAATACGTTTTCGAAGCTATCTTACAAATGCTTATATCAAGATATAAAAAGCCCACACAAATATTGCCACTGATATAAATTATATCTAGCGACCAAAATGACAGCTGGGCAGCATTAAATTTTATCCTGTGGAGACGGCCAGTTAACTGCATCGAAACGGCAATAGCCCGAGGCACAGCCTTTTAGTTTTCTGTTACTGTAATATGTACCATCACGTAGGTGAAATGATCTTTTTAGTAAAAGACCGCATTCATGTTTTATAGATCCTTTTTTCTCATATTACTATATTTTGTTTTTGTAGATAGGCTCTTCTGGCCCTCATGGCCTCATATACATATGTACTATGTATGTAGTTTGGCGTGTCATCAGAAGCAGGCAAAATTGTAGAATTATTGTAGAGGGGAACGCACACACGCGCACCAGAAAACGAAACAAAAAAAAAAATCACCAACAATGGAAAACCACCTGTTTGTTAACACTTTCAGTCAGCTATTGTTGTTGTGGTGTTTGTTAATAATGCTATATACTGCTGATTTCAGCATTTTCGGCATATGAGAAAACATATGCGTTTACCTGTATACCATAGTTTGTATGTGCCATAGAGTTTGTATGTGCCTTGCAATAAAAATACAAATATGCATAGAATGCCAAAGTGAATATATACATACATAAAAGCTTGTGTTTACTTATAAACAAAGTCACTGAAGTTGGGAGATGACAGAACCGTATAAATCAGCAGACTTTTGCAACGTTTCTGTGAAGATAAAATCCAAGAAGCGGAATAAAAAAACAAAATCCTATAAAAAAAATGCCAACCACGCTTTAATGTTAAGTACAAATGTACGAACATAATTCCTGAAGTGAAGCGGCATTAAAAACCATGATAAAGCAATTGAAAAAAAAATTGCTTACTCACATATGTACATACAGTATTGGCCAATCCAATAGCATCCCCATTTCAAAGTGGTATTGTTTACCACTCATATTTATTTATTTATTTTTAGGAATTTTCAATTAAAACTCAGTTCATTCTCTAACAAAACCCGTATAAACCCAAGTTTTAAACTTTGTAAAAGACTACAAAAAAATTCAAAAAATTTTCACCTAAATTTCAAACTTTTTTCTCAGATGTGTTAGAATTTTTTTGAGTGCACAATTTTATAGCATATTCAATTTTAGTCTAACAATGTGCAAGTTTCCAGTGGCTAAAAATCACCGTTAATTTTTTAGAATTTTTTTCGCCGAAGGTGTTGCGGGTTTCTTCCATATAAAAAAACAAATTTAGTGACTTGAAACTCGCACATTGTAACTAACATTGAATTTGCTATAAAACTGCGCACCCAAAAAAAATTTTAACTCTGACAAAAAAAGTTTGAAATTTAGGTGAAAATTTGTCACATTTTTTACAAAGTTTAAAACTTGGGTTTATGTAGGTTTCTTTTAGAGAATGAACTGTATTTGATTTGAAAATTCTTCAAAGTTAATAACTAAGCATAAGTGGCAATCAATATCGTTTTGATGCTATAGATATGGCCAATACTGTACATACATACATATGTATGTAACATTTTGGTTTCTTTATGGAGTGGTGAAAAAACTCCATAGAAAATCAAGTCCCTTTACTGTGAATTTCCTCCAAAGGCTGTTTTTGTTGAAAAATGTAGCAAATTTTATGCTATGTTATTTATTTTTAAAATCCAATAGATTTTTAGTGATTAATCGCAGACTTTTCAGCAGTGCTGTATTTGTAAAGAAATGCAGTTAGGGCCTTTCTATTTTAATACACAATAACGATTTACATATATGGGCAAATCTCCGGAACCGTGCGATTTGTTGTTGAAAAAAACGTAAATTTTTAAGTAAACGACATAAAAATAAAAAATGCATCAATATTCCTTAAATGCTGTCACGCAAAGACATATGCAGACAATATTTGTTATATTTTCTATATTTTTAAAGGCACATGCCTGAAAAGGGTCTTTATTTTATGTACACACATGTGGCAGAGAATTGGCTGAAGCTGTCGAATTGTTTCATCAGAATGAGACTGCAAAGCTCAGACTTTTAATATTAAACATCAAATGCATTGGTACAAAAACAAAGCGAAATATGTACAAATAGCCACATAGCTACTGAAAAGCAAGAGGATCCACAAGAATAAAAAACTGCTAACAAAGCAAAATAAATTCGCGACGAAAAGAATTATGGCAATTCGGTTTGCTCAACTGACTGTCGAGCTGACTGACTTCTCTACAAATTTGATGGGACGTTAATGATTGAACCTGTGGTGGTGTTTACATCACGCAACTAAACAGCTTAGTGAGTTAACCAGTTATAGAAGACAAATATATATGTACCTAAAAAAGCTGACCACAGTGTACCGCTATTATCGGTATCTTTAAATAGCAATGAACGTTTGTATAAAAGTAATATGTATGTAAGTGCCTAGTTTTGCGAAAAAAAAACAATTGATTACTTCGGTGAGATACAGCAATTAAAAAATCGCAATTAATGACTTGTACATATCTTTCTACATTTTTGCTGCATTTTAATTTGGCGGTAACGAGATTTATAAAGAACCCACAAAATTTGTTAAAAAGAAAGTGGATAATGAAAAAAGGGTTGAAATAAAAATTACATAAAAATTGGTTTATCTTGGCGCAAATATGTATTTATGTTATAGTTCCGATTTGCGTATTACAAATTTTAATGATCATACATATGTACCAACATATTTTTGTATCTTTACCCGCATCCATCGTTCGTATCAAATTGATACGAATTTCAAAAACATATTGAAATATTAAGACAAATAGTTAATGTTTTGAATAGGTTTTTTTTTGGGACAAATGCGTCAGGTTCGATTTCATTTGAAGACAAAGAAGGGAAAAATTCATTGAATAAAAATGCAAATAAATGTTTTGTCCTACTTGACCTTCAAAGACCTCGAACTTGACATAATGAGGGTTAACGAATCTTGGATTCGGTTTCAGCGAGTCTAAAACCGCATATATATGAATTTTCAGGTTTATTCAATGAATTTTTCCCTACTTGACCTTCAAATGACCTCAAGCGCGCCGACTAAGGTAGGGATATAGAGGTTTGGTTCAATATGCTAAAAAATTTTTTTTTTGTAAAGCTGCGTAAAAAAAAAAAAACAAATCAAAATTTGGTTCTTTACGGGACAGCCTGATATTCGCGGCTTGTTTCCATAGCCATTCTGCATTTTGTTAAGCATAACCCCATTACAGTCTTTTGTGGAAGTGGAATCCCATAGTTCTTTTGGAATACCATAAATCCTTCTAATTTTAAAACGCTTTCTTCTAGATTACTGCTATTGCAAATTTAAATATAACACGTGCCAAGAGGGATCCTTTTAAGCCGTTAAAGGCGAATTCGACTGATACCTATCAGCGAGAACTATACGGCCTCGATTCTGCAAGATGAGCGTACCAGGAAAAATAGATCGTAAAGTTCGTCTGTTGAAGCGAGAAAATTTAACGAAGCGGAAAGCTTTCACCCTAGCGTTGAAGTCATGGTGCGGACCAGAGGTTTATAACATGCTTTGGAGCAATGAAATAACACCAATTTTGTGGAATGATGGCGGACGACGTCAGACGACGCCTTTTAAATTTTCCTGATATTTTGTGGGAGAAAATTTCATCTGTCAAATAAGCTTCAACTAACCGACTTCATTTTGACTATAAACATGCTCCAATCGCTTTAACCCTCATTTAAGCTAATTTAGCCCGCCGTTAGTAGCGCGGCTATACATTCCGTTTCATAATAGGGGTATTCTCTGAGTCTTGCAAAGCCCTTGCATGGTGCACAGATTGCACGGATTGCACGGTAAAAACCGGTTTTCGTATGGGACAGCTTTGCAAACCGTGCAATCCGTGCACCGTGCAAGGGCTTTGCAAGACTCGGAGAATACCCCTAATAAGATAAGTAAAAACTTTCTGCTATGGCTTTTATATGGTACGAGCTCTCTTAAGATTAAGTGGCTAATTTTTTAATAATTATATCCGTATACCGTAGATCTATGGTAACTTTTATCCTGGATCTACGGTATAAGTTGAAGTTGATAAGTGAATAGACACTGCCTACATTTTTTTTTTTATCTAGCTTACCGATTTGAAATCTGACAATTTTTGACTAACCTATGCAGCTTGCACTTTAATTTGCTATATGTATAGATAATCGCATGCTTACCTGGCAAATGGTGTCTGTTCCAATTCATAAATTTCGTTAATATCTTCTGCAACCAGCAGTTCTTTAAGTCGTTCCTCGTTGATGTCCAAGAGGCCATCACCAATTGGGAAAATACCTTCGGTAAACATGTTGATGCTGTTTACTTGTCTTACAATCTGTTGGTCTTTTGAATATTTTAAACAAGTTTTAAAAGCTAAAAAAAAGCGAAATTGCTACGCAGCTATCAGTTACTGACCAAGAAAATAAATTTGAAATTGCCAATCAAACTTTTTCACACTTTTTGCTAACAAATTTTAACAAACTCTTTTTTTGTTATGCGCACGCGTACGCTTTCAAAAGAGCTGTAATAATTGGTATTGATAAATCTATTTATGTAACAATTGCTTTAAAGTAAATTTTTGTCACTCAGTCGCAAATATAGACAGACTTCTAAACATGTAAATTGACCAACTTGTGATGCTGTGGAGTTGCTTCCCAAGAACTACACACTCAGCGCAAGCCCGATGTGCTAACTTTTTAAATTTTTCAATGCGAGCAAATGAATCACAAGTCGCACAAACTTCGAATGGCTTAAATTTACACTGCAAAATTTCACTTAAAAGAAATTGTATCATAATTTTTCATTGGATTATTGCTTCCGAACACAAATACTTGTTTAAAATTTGGTATTTTCGTTAATTTTATTCTTTGACTTCACTGCTGCAGCTCTTCTTCACTGTTTTTGACATATACTATTTTTCGTTGGTAGGCATTTACGTTTTATGCATTTCGCACTCAATTTATCACTTCTTCTTTCTGCTCTACTACATCCCCAACTTCTTTTTAACAGCTTTCGTTTTTCATTCGTTTGTTCGCACGTTCGTTACAGCACTGGTTATGTTCGTGGGTCAACTCAACATTTTTCGAGTTTTAGCTACTAGCTACATGAAACACAATTCACTTAATTTCCTTTAAAAATTCGTCAATAGATTTTAATTCACAGAATAAATGGTTCGAGGTTTAAATTCGTTGTCGTAATTGTTGCTGCAGCTGCGAAGGAGTTGCAAATTATACCAATTTTTTTGTTTCTACCGTTTTCTTTTTTCTTCGTTTCATAAACGCAACGCGACGAAAGGCGAGCGGGCGAGCGATGAAGCAGGTAAACGGAGTTGGAAATCAGAGCGGGTTTTCACAAATTAACAACACGAATATTTGAAATTTTCACCAGTTCAGAGTGTTCCCGGTATTGCAATTAACACACAAACTACACTTTGCATCCAAATCGAAAGTTTTGAATTTCGGAAATAATGAATTTAATCCAGATTTAAGAAAACATGGTTTGCGCTACGTCCGCTTTCAACATTCTTTCCACCTTCACCGTACAAAGAGCGATTTTCGAATGCCTCAACAATTTTCTCTTCATGTTCAACAGCGCCATTTCTGCTCGCTGACAGCTGCAGCTGCGGTGTTGCCAATCTGTTGCTGTGTGTATTTCAATTGAGACATTTTCCGATGGGAAACTTTCAATCTAAGTGGCAGCGTCAGCTTATGATTGGAAGAGCAAATTGGTCTGAATTTATAAGAAAATGAATTTTCTACAAAGATTAGGCTTGGGAACTAATGCGAAATGTAACAAAACGTTTATTTATGCCCCTCAAAGCATTTGCAAATGAGACTAAAGCACGTCTTTAGATGTTTTGAGCTGCCCATAGCGAATTGGAACGAATTCGCCATTTGAGCCTTGTTGGTAGCACTAAGCTGTGTTTCATTAGCACAATTGCTGAATTCTCGTTGCCACATAGTCGGTGTTAAAAGAAACTGCAACAATTTTTATTGGGGTTTTATAGATACAAAATTTTAAAGTAACGAATAAAAGAATATACAACTTTAGATTAGTATTTTAAAATAAAGAAAAATTCAATAACTATTAAATGATACAGCTAATATTATACAAAAGAATTTTATAATAGCACTCAACGTCTGTGCATTTATAATTCCCGGTTTAGGTTTCTTTTTTTTATTAAATTTTCGTCTTTCATTGTTTAAATTTTTAGAAACTTGTTTAATATATTTTTTCTTTGTTTTCAATTTAATGTATCCTTTTTGTTTAATTTATTTTTATTTTAGTTTTAAGACTTTATTGTTTCAAAACGGAAAATATTTGCTTTAATTTGATCTAATTTTTAGAAACATATTTTGTTTGTTTTCTTTATTTTATTTTTTTTTTCTTGTTTTAATAAAAGTTGCAGATTTTGTTTTAAAAAGAAATTTAGTTGTTATGAACAAATTATATTTTTTTCCCCCTAACTTATTTTCTCTTGTTATTAATTTGTAGATTTTATTGTTAAAAAAATACTTTATTTTTAATTTCATTTAGTTTTTTGAAACCTATTAATTTTTTTATTTAATTTTTGGTTTTTATTGCTTTAAAAATAAAAATATATATATCGCTAGCTTAGATTGAAAAGTTGTCAGGTCCCATTTTGCTTCTTTTGGACATACCAAATTTTCCTTGTATTGAATATAAACGGGAAAAGAAAACACAATTACTTACTTGTTGCCACTTGTATCAAAATATGAGTTTTCACACCAAAGCGGACTTTGCAACTATTTACTCTAAGCAAACGATATATATTTTTAATTTATTTTAATTTTTAGAAAACTTATTGCGTAAACATAAGTAGATCTTTCATTTCCCTCCTTCATTGTCCTTCGAAAGACTGAAAAGAGACTTCGAGATAATTTTCAGAATTGATAATTGTCTTACGAAGGACTTATTGATCTAAATACTTATCGATAATGATATCGATAACGACATAGTCCGCGATCACTCAGAATGAATTCTGAATAAACCAGGGATCGCAAATTATGATATTTTTTTTAGTTTGAACTCAAAAATCATTCTGGAAGAGAAATGTTACGTACTTGTTACACAAACTACCTTCAGCGGCACTCATATTAATAAAAAAAATTAAGTTTAATAACACTGTTGGGACGCTTACATAATTTTGGGTCGTAGATCAGGTCATTTTCGCAAGATGTTTTCATTTTAAGTTTGCATTGTGAATGAAAAAATGAAACTTTAACAGGGGGAAAAAATAAAAATAAACGATTTTTTGTAAAAAATATCGATAACGAAAATCTCTAAAATCCCGAAATAGTCCCCAGATTGAGTCTCTGTCTATATCCTTTTCGCAATAATTACCTTTATTTTAATCTTTCTTCCTCTATCTTCATCTTTACTTTTATCTGTATCTTCATCCTCATATTTTTCTTTTTATATATCTTTGTTTTTACTTTTATGTTTATCATATTCTTCATCTACGTATTCCCCTTCACCTTTGTCTTTTATAAATATTGCGCCATCTGTTATTCAAAAGCCGAAATACCTACACCCACATACTTTTTGTCTCCTTCTCTCACTTTTTTTTGTATGGAAAATTATTTATGCCCATATATTTGAATCAAATAAACATACTTACAAGATACCAACCAATACTTCCCCTATACCAAATGAAAGGAAAAATCTTGAGTTTTATATTAAAGAAAACAAAAACAAAATCTTTCGAGCATTTTGGAAACAAAAAAAATTTGCTAATTTTTTTTTAATTTTTTCGCATTAAAATATTTGTTGAACTTATATAAAATTTGTACACGATAATATTTCTACTGCTCCAAAGAACCTATATCCCGAAAATGAAAGTTTAGCCTGCAAATCGTAAGTTGCTAGAGCACTTGAAAGGCTCAAAATTTACCCCAAAATAAGCCAATATTTACCGTTGTTTATATAAATATATGAATATATAACTGCTAGAAAAAGTATTTAATTATATTTATTATCCAAAAATAAATACTGCAAGCATTCAACTACATATATACATACATACATATGTATGTGTAGATGCACTCACCACTTCGCCTTTCCCCAAAAATAAACACTGTTAATAAAAATCGGTAATGAATGCATAAATTCTATAATGACTAATAAAGCCGAGCAATTGAGATATATCATCGTGCAATAATACAGCTAATTGTGTACTAATTTTACATCTCAAATATTTTCCGCTAGAGAATGTAATTTTTTTTAGTGCAACGGTAACGGACGAGTGCCATTAGTGCGTGTACATTTCGGTTGCGTTCAAGTGTGTTCACATTTAAGTGTGTGTGTGTGTGTGTGTGTGCGGGATATGCAAGAATGCGAATATGCACGTTGATTTCAAAAATAGTTTGCTATATTTTTATGCGTACGTACATACGTACATACACATGCATGCAGTATATACTTGCATTTTCCGCAATTGAAGCGCCGACAGCGGCGAAGTGCAAAAACCTCAAACGGATTTACGCGAATTTGGATTTTCAACACAAACAACTCAATCGAAAGAACGCGTCGCGCGCCTAACAGCTGCAACTGCAGCCACAGGCTAAGTGGGATTGCTGTTCGAGCAAGCAAGCAACTGGCAAAAGTGCATTAGCGGATATGGCTGATGCTCGACGGCATGTGAAAATCGTAGGGAATGAAAACACAGCGGGCAAAGCGGGCGAATAGTATTGGATGTGCGCTAAATTCCACGCCTTACGTTTTACATGTGCACTATGTGGATATGTATGTATTAGTATGTAAATATGTATGTATGTGTGAATCTTTTCGATTGTAGACTTCTTTGGACTTCATGGGTTATAATTTTTGTTTATTTAGTTTTAGCCCAGGAATATAGTAAAGTTAATAAGCCTTCATACGTTTGATGAGATGTTAATGGCTATGAGTTCCTCAGATTACGCTGGTTTACAGCAAAAATGTTCAATGGATGCCACTATCCAATTTCCAATTTCTATGTAGAATTGCTCGGTGATTCCGAAAATCTAGTTATTTTCTATGGATACGTTTTCGAGATATTTGCAATTTACCGTTATTCAGATCAAAACAAAAAGTGGTTCCTCTTAATCACGTATATCTTGCAAACCAATTTAACAATCTTAAAATGAGAAACGTCAAACCAAAGCTAATAAAATTATCCATAAAACATTAAACTAATTAATTAATCATTCTAGATTTTTTATTTTTTTTATCAAAAAAATCAAACTTTAACAGAAGAAAAATTAAAAAAATTACAGTTTATGTGCCAAATTTTTGCCTTTGTGCTAAAGCCTGTTCTGTTACAAAAAAAATCAAGTTACTAATGAAGGAAAGCGAGGGATAAATAAAGAAGTAATGAGTGGTCAAATGAAAATATGCAAAGATTTTTTGTATGAAAAATGAGCAGGAAAGAAAGTTACTCATACGCCACGTACACCTGATTTATACAACATTTGATTGGCTAATCTTAGTTTCAACCAGCCAGCTGAAGGTCTTCACATCATTTTCCCAAACATGGCCATCACTCCCCGTATGTGTGTGTGTATTTCCACCAGCAACAGGTAGAATGTCAGTAAAAGCATAGACGGACAGCAGAGTTCATCCGGATTAACAGCGCAGTTGATCTGATCAAAATTGTACCCTGGCAGACGACGGTAATGCGGATTAACGAGCCGCAAGAACTCCCATTTAATTTTTTTTAATACTTTTTTGAAACTTACTTACCAATGTAACCAGCCGGTGTCTGTACTTTAATGATGAGAATGTATCTGGGTTGTCCTGGTTCATATGTAGCACAACTTTTGCCAATGCCGGTTGGACCAACTTCCGTTGCCAGTACGAAGGATCATTACCCGTTCCCGTTCTTAGCGACCTGCGCCTTTCAACACACTTTGACGTCGAGATCCAGAATTACATATTGACTTTGTCTGTGGACTATATTCTTGCGCTTTTATAAAGTTCCTGATCACCAAAGATAGCCATACCACTATCGGTACGTCGGACTTTGCTGGATAGCGTTAGTGGGCTGTGCTCTGGTCAAGTCTTTGGCCACGAAGCAGGCCCCGGGTGGTGAGATTTGTGAGGGGAATTAGCCTTCGGACTTTTCTTACCAGAAGGTATCATGGCTTTAATGCTAGTGGGTACCTATGCTACACCTACTGCGTGCCTCCGTTGTAAGCTTTTTCTGGCGTAGGGGAGTTTGGAGGTTCGGTGGCTCTAGTGGCTCCTGTAGGTTTTTTTTTGAGCGCCGAGGTCTTCATTTTAGCGATGTTTAGGTCAAAGTTTTCGTTTTATACTGTGTCTGGCATCTAACATACCTAAAACCGTAATGAAAGCAGCCATTGAACGAAGTTGAACGCTCGACGCTAAATCTATTCCGGTTTCGCTTTCGATTCGCATTCCCAAAGAAGCAAATGTTTTGGCAAATTTTCAAGTTTAAAAGATCAGCGCTTTGGTTTTCATTGTTAACCTCTCGCATTGTTATCAAAGCAATACTCCCTTGAAAATAGTATTAGAGAATCCATTCTATGGTTCCGCCGCCAAATGCCAATTAGTTTGTTGAACTGCTGCGCTGAGAGTGGCGGCGGTGATGATGGCCAAACGCTTGAGCTACATACAGACATCAATACTACTTACCATATGTATGTATGTGTGTATGTACATTAGAGTGGTCCAAAAAAAATTTTTTTTTCGAGATAGGGTTTGGCACCTTGCAAAATTTGTCCTCTTGTCGAAAGAGTTGCTGGATACCCAACTATATGTTTCTAAGTATAAATTTAGGGGCTGTTCATGATGCTCATATTTTACTCTAGAAGTATAGTGTACATATTTTTATCAAATAATTTGTTAAGCAACCTAAAAACATTTCAAATTTAAATTATCTATAAAAATATCACAAGCTTCAGTTATCATGGCAACAGTAGCTTTTTATATGAATCACCAATATTTTTGCCAGTTTCACAGCGATCCAGTAGCGCATCTCAAGGTCCCTGAGCACCCTATATTGGTTAAAGTAGAAAAATGAAAGTTGGTATAGATATTTCAAATATCAAAAGGAAAAAAGTAAGGGGGTGTCCCTGTTTTGTAGAATGACATTTTTTCTCCCATACAAAAATTGGACCACTCTAATGTACATATGTATGTTTTTCTCAGTTTTTGCACTTGCTATTCAAGTCTATTTAGTTGTTTTCAGAAATTTCCAACAAAAAAACACGCACTGTCGACAAATTCCTCTGCGCTGTCGACGCACCTGCTAAAAATAAGCGCAAACGCCAAATGGCTTTACTTTGGCAATGTTGATCCAAAAACGTGGTGGTACATTCTTGCCGCATCTATGGATGGCGCGCGCCACACGATGATCATACGCGCCTTCGCTAATCTCATTTCTGCAATGCATTTGCATTTGTTGGCGACAATCATGAGCGAGCGCTGCATTTGTATGTATGTATGTAGCGGTAGCGTGTTTGCAATTCTAATGCTTGGGCGCCTTAAAATAGACAAATATTTTTCTAAATTTATTTGCTTGTTTTTGTCAACCCAAAACAGCAACGGAATATGAGTGTCATCAGCTTAATGCAGTTAATGCCAACGCCTCTGTCGCCGCCACCCTATTGCTTGCTGCTGCAACAGAATTCAACATTTTCGGCCCACAATTATTCATAGGTGGCGCCGACACCAATATTGGGAACACCACAGCGTTGACATCGCGACGACAGTGACGTGAAATGACGTTGTAGTTTTAAAAATGAATATTTCAACGAGATGATTGAAGAATTTCACAAATATTTGTATGAGTATATACGTATGTATGTATAGATATATATATATAGTATATATACCCTGCAAACCATGTTTTCAGAGTACTCTGAATAGTAGAAAAATCTTAAACAATTCGTAAAGATCTTATCCGATTTTTTGCGGAATTTTCTAAAATGAAACAAACAGTGCACACTTCGATCCCTTTACGAAATTTCGAAGGCAGTGCTGCGATGTGAAGAATTTTTTTTTTCAGAATTTTCTTTAAGAAATTGTACAGAAATTTCGTTATGAGTTCGTGTCAAACATTTCAGATGATTTTCTTTGTAGACTCGTAAAAAAAATCGTTACAGAATTAGGACACTCCTAAAGATTTCGTTAAGATTTCGGGAACTTTGGTTTGCAGGGTATATACATACATACATACATATATACATATATGTATATGTGTGTACATTAGGGTGCGCCTAATTTTTCAACTTTGACCCAAAAAGCGAGCCAGGTTCATTTGGTCATACAAATTTTTAAAATTTTCAAAATCGGATAATGGAAAGACGTGCCTTAACAGCCCTAAAGTTATGCAAAACTGGCCTTATAACTTCCAAACCTGACGAGATATGAAAATAGCGTAGCGAAAATTTGAAAAAAATTTAATTAAAAAAAATCTGTCCTTTATTGTAGATGGGTTGGCAAATGAAAAATTTTAAAAAGCTACACAGTTTACGTGGCGAACTTAGCTCAGTGGGTAGACTACTGGCTTTGTAGGCTTGGGTCGCTGTATCAAATCCCAGCTATAACTTTTACCTTTGTGTAAATAATTGTTGTTTTTCCACACCATTTTTTTCATATCTAGTCCTAGCCATGCCCATTTTCCGTCTCAATTTCTTCAAAGCAGAAAAGGGAAATAGAGTTGTCATGTATAGCGATTACGTACAGGTGTTTGAAGCAAGCGCAGTTTGCAAATATAAAGCAGTTCTACAAGTCGCTCCCAATGAAAAATCGGTACTGTTTTTCCATCGCAAAAATATTAAGATTTACGTGATCTGGACCGATTTCAAAATAACTCCAAACATTTACAGCCAAATTCATAAAAAATAAAGATCACTTCAACTGTTTTATAAATCAAAAGTTTGTATAAAAATGTCACTTTATAGAGCCCTATAAATCTACTTTATTTTATATGAATACGGCCATTAGTTTTTTGAAAATAAAATTTGTTTTTTTTTTAAATATTCTTTCCCAAAAATTTAACTCAGATGATTTGTAAAAAAAAACTGTATCAACGGAAAAAATAACGAGATATTTGAAGGTATTTTCAAATCGGTCTAACTCACATAAATTTAATATTTTTACGAAATATTTTGGCGAAAGTCTAACATCCAATTACATTAAAATTAAAGAAGATTTTAACTGCTTTATAAATCGAAAATTTGTATCAACACGTCCATTTATAGCGCTCTTTAAATCTATTTTATTTTTTTATGAATAACGCCATAAAAAATATAACAAATTTTATAATTCCGTTTGAAAAACCGAACCTCTTTTCGGCGATGCATGCATGCATTCATATTGATGTCCAATTGAGGGCATGCAAGTTATTTTGCAATCTTATCCGTATTAAAATGTTTTATTAGATATCCAATTAATATTAGCCCGGCACGCATGCTTCGATTCGCTATGCTCTTAGGTACATAGTATGTACATATGTATGCATGTATGTATTAATATACATATCTATGTATGTGTGTATTTAGCACACAACCCTTCAGTTTTCCTCGCATATTTGTGCTAAATACTTTTCTGCAATTTTTGTCTTGTTTTCGAGTGTAAGATTTTTTTCACAAATTGGTAGCGACCCCAACTTTTTTTCGTATCCTAAAATTTAAAACAATTAAATTCAACAAATGCAACAATTACTTGTATTTTGTTTTTGCTTTTAGCGGGCCATTGTCAAATTTTAGCTATTCTTCCCCGACTAGGAAAATATAAAATTTTGACAATCAAACGCTACTCACAGCTGATGAAATAACACCCCTTATATAAATTCGCCTTGGTAGCTACATATGTACATATGTATAAGCCAAATTAAAAAAAAATTACAGTGATCGAAAATACTTTCAGCGGAACGTGCGAAATTATTGTGAACAATCCAGAATTTTAAGTAAATAAGACTGAAAAACAAGTTGGAATTCGCTGACTTAAATATTCACACCAAAAATTTAAACAGTAAATATGTATTTTCAATATTTATTTAAAGTAAATTAAAAAATAATGCTGAATTTCCACTAAGCATTAAATAGCAAAAATGACAAATGACAAAGTCGGGCATTAAAAGATAATCGTGTCATTACATTAAAAAAATAGTCATTAAGAAATTTTTTTACATGGCATAAATTTTTTGTCATTTCAATGCCTAGTGGATATTCGGCATAAGTTTGAAACCCAAAAATGTGCATACATATTTATTTGTATTAGTAATTTGTGTATAATTCTATTATAAATGTTCAAATTTTAAATTTGATTTGGTATAATTTTCATAAAAGCACATTTAGTACATACAATAAGTGAGTGATGAAACAAACATTTACAGCCAGTCATAGATGTTTGTGTGTTGCTTTTGCTTCGCTTATAGAAAACTTAAGTAATTACATATCGCACATTTGCTTCAAGAGTGCCACAATCCAAACAATTAAAAACTCGACAAGTACAGCTTTAAAGTTTTGAATACATATTTTCTTCTAGTGAGCTACTGGCAATAGGTACAGCTATGAACATTTTAACACATCATAAGGCCAGGTAGCGGTCTGCGTACTTATCTAAAGTTTTTTTACTTTATTTATTTATTTTTTGTTATTATGGCACTATTGCAGCAAATGTGCGATATGTAGTTGCAAGTGAGTGTAAAAAAAGTATCATTGCTAAGCTGTTCTCATAAATATTATAAGTGAAAATTCATTTAACATGCATTACAATGCCTCATATAAAAAATCAGGGACTAACTAAATTTAATTCTGAAACATTCTACATACATACATACATACATATGTGCATATGTATATACATAGCAGTACAATATATTCAAAACTTGCTTCCGGAGCATAAAGTTCGTAAAAGTTCTATTAGTAAATATCTATTATCTTCAAATATGTTAATATCTTATTCGTGATTTTTGCCGCTTTGCAGATTTTACAAGAATAAGTTTGAAATGTGTTTATGTATGTACATTCATATGTCACCATTTAATGATTTCAGTTAATTATTCTACACATTAGACTAATATATTCTTTAATTTCACGTAAATTGCCTACATTTAGCCATGTACGCATGTATAAATTATATAACAATGAAGTATGCAAGCAGTTCATGTGCACATATCGATGTATGTATACCCAGATATACACGCAAGTAAAATATATAAAGTTTAATAATTACATAGTACATATTTGCGTACACATGCAATTATTTGCACATCTGCATAATATTTAATAGAAACCGAATTCATATCAGTACATACGGGCATACACACATACAAATTATGTATCGTAAATAAAGTTATTTAACTATCCATCGTTATTTGCAGGTATCTAATGCAATATTTTTTAAACATAAAAATAGTTTACAGAAACAAGTGGTAACATTGTTTTTATTTTTCTAATTAACATTGCTATTGTTTTGAATAACATATTAAAAAATAATAACAAATTTCTATGTAAATCTACTATTGGTTTTGCAACAATAACAAAGACATGCGTAAAGCTGCGAAAATAACCCATTATTATTATATTAGTTACATGTTCCAAACCAAATTTTATTAGTTATAACAAAAGGTATAATTTCATTTCGTTTAATTCAATAAATACGTAAGTAACTAAGCATCAGTATATATCATATGCGTTAAACGATTCTCAATATAAACCTTAAAAAAAATTGCTTCATTTTTTTATTGGTGCAACAAATCCATTTATAAGGTATGTCTAATTCAATTAGATTGTGGCTTGGCAAAGAAAGCTAAAGTTTGTCCCATCTATAGTGAAATCTTAATTTTAATTTACATACTATTAGCAAACGATATACAAAAGCGTGCAAGATGCTGTTGCTGTGCAACGTAAAGAAAAACATATGTAGGTAAATGACTTTTCAACAATTAGATATCCAACAACCGATTAACTGCATTCTTGTTTTTGTGTTCTAAAATGCGATTGCTTAAATTACTATACAGGACCATACAGCTTTTAATCCCACCACTTTGTTACAGGAACTTGCGATAATTCCTTAAGTCCACCTGCTCGTCACTCAAACCAACTCCTGTCAAATCGCCCAATACACCAACAGCCGCAGCAGCGCTCTCAAAAGATGGCGGTTCACTATTCAAACCTGGACTGGGTGGATCACAGACATTTGCATTTTTCCCTTTTGTTCGACGACGTCCACGCGTGCCACCTGTGCCACGCGGTCGCCGACCAGTACTAGTCGTACCTGATGTCGGTGTTGCCGTTAGTTCACTTGTTAAGCCTCTGCTGTTACCATCATTCGTATCCACAGTCGAATGCGATATATCAGAGGTAGCAGCTGTGGAGGAGCTCGCTGATTTTCGACCGCGCTGACCGCCGGTACGTCGTCGTCCACCACCGCCACCACCTCCTTCGCTGGGCGTAGTTGCGTCACGTTTATTTGGACGACGCTTTCGTCGCTTTTTGGTGCCATAGCGCGGATCATAGTCTAATTCATCATCGCCAGGTGATTTGGGATCTTCCAAGGCATCTAGTTCATTCATTTCAATGTCATCATAGAACCATTCTTTCGACATGTCGTCCTTGACTGGTAGGGGTGGCTGTTGTTGCTGCTGCACTATTAATTGCTGACTGTCTTTACTGTCAGATGTGTCGCCGCCAGCAGCGCCCAAGGATAGCGATTCATCGAGCAGCGTCCCATTCAAATCGGAATCAAACATCGACCCAATGCTAGAGCCGATTAAAGGAGATGCTGTGCCAGCGTTTCCAGTGACCACGCTCGATTCTTGTTCTTTACGCAAAGATTGAAATGGCCGATCAGGGAAACTGCAAGGGAATGTTAAATAAATACTTCGGGTTCACTAAATACAAGAAACATTTTTCTTACCGGTACATTTTATTTAGATACTGGCGCCGGCTTTTACGCCACCGTGTTGACGGATATGTGTAGATCTGTCCTTGCCGGAACCCCGGCATTCGTTGCCGTTTGTCCATGAAGAGATGGGAGTGATTTTGAGCAACTCGTGTTTGAGGATCGAAAAAAGGTAATCGTAGCCGGCGTTCCAAGCATAAACGTGTATTGAAGTTAGCACTGAACTCAATCGTCTCGCGATAAGAAACATCTTTGAAAAAATTTTCAATTTTATCCAAGTTTGGTGCCGAAACAATTTGTATATCCACAGCTGAAGTCATGTTTGCAAAACTGGCAATATAGCACCTAATAGCCTCCACCCGTAATATAATGAATAATTCTTAGATAAAACGCTTGTATCTTCCAAAAGCCATGCAAATTGCTGCAGCAGCAGCAACTGTTGCTGTATGAGGTGGCTGTTGCTGTGCCGTCACAGTTCAAAATTATGTTCTTATCTCGATTTGCGAATTCCTGCTTTGCTTCACAAATTTTTATAAATTCCAGTAAATGTTTAATAGGCGACCTGTTAATTTTTGCACGGCACCGGTACCTTCATGTGCATACTATAAAATACAATTTCTATGAATACATAACTATAGATTTTTCTAATCTAATTTCGTAAAAAAGTAAATTTTTTTAGTTCTTCTCCGCCACTCCTTTCACCACTTCGTTTTAATAATCCTTCCGTTTCTTTCTTGTCAACTTTCTCTATTTCCGTTTTGGCATGACATTTCTATATTCTCTGCAAGTGATGTACACTTTGGATATCGATAAATATCGATTACATATATTCATTTTTTAGAATTGCAAAATATCGGTATATGCAGTACTTCTATTCGCCGTATTTGAAAAAATACTTTAAAAATAACAGTGTGGAACAAAAATTAATTTGTAAAAACCATAGCGAGCGCATATATCAGGTTTGATAGCTGTTCTCCATATGAACAATGGCTCATACTCAGTTTTACTAGATCAATTCGTTCTCGAGAAAAAGTTTCATAATCCAAAAATCTGAGTTACGTTGTGTAATAAGCGCTGGTTCTATGCTTAAGATCTGGGTCTAGGAAATTCAGGATTTATATCTGGCCTGCGTCTCTCCACACAACAGCTTTCTGAAGGCTATAGGTAAGGTAAGGTTGAAATGTTTGGAGAGTACTTCCCCACGTTTACGGAGCGATTTTGCTAATACTTTTTTGTTATTATACCTTTCGTTTTCCACAGCAACCGCCAATTCATTTGCTAAGACGAAGAAGTACACAAGGCATGTTGCCCGGGTACAGGCGACTTGTTACCCCTCTGCTTTCATCGTCGCTCACCCTCTTTTCAGATATAAATTCGTCTTGTCTTGGTCGTTTCGGTTACGAAGGCCCGACTGTCGGGGCTTGGTTGGATAAAGTCCGATCACACCAAATGCGTTTTTCATAAACTAGCTTAGCATACATACATATGTAGTAACTGTAAGATTAGAAAGCCTTGATAGTCCAATTAGCTATGTGCTCTTTTTAATATAAACTAAAACAATTTTCATTTTTTTATTAAAACAAAACTTTTTTATTTTGCCTTACATGGGAAATCATAAAATATATCGTTTCCTCGTCATAATAATAATATTAATGTCCGTACAATATTTTTGATGCATATATTAATAATTATGTAGTATTTATTTAATATAACTATATCTGCAAGTAACTAATTTATATATATATATATATATATATATGTGTGTATATATATTATCTAGATTTCCTCATTATTATATGCAATAGTTCACTTGCTCCATACTAATTACGATTTTATACCCCACTGCTCTTAAATGTTACGCAATATTTCGCTCTATATATTTTTAAGTACATTAGCGCTTTTTCTTAGCTGATCAAGCTTAAAATAAGTTAAAATCATAATAAAATAATATTTGAAACAAGCGCAACGGCCAGTAATCAATTAGATGAAAAGATATTAATATTATGGAACTCAAAAAATTATGTATTTAAATACATAATGTTCAGAGTTGTAAAACTAAGCCAGATTAGTAGATATATTTAAAAACAAAAAGTAGAAATAAGCAGAGTTTTTTAGCTTTAGTTTTACACTATTTTCAATGAAAAGAACTTCAATCGTAGGCAAAAACTAGCGCATAGGTTTTTTAAAAAAACTTTATCATAAAACATTTCGTAAAATTTCAAGAGTAAAATTAACTGCAGCATAAGCTGTATGTTTTTTTTTTGCCAAATAACAATTAATATACACAAAATATAACACAAAATAACGAGCTTTCTCATTATCAACATTATTTATTTTACTACACCACATTGAAATTTTGCCAATCAATCAACATTTTGAAAGAGAAGTGAGCACAAAACATGTCACGAGTTACTAGCAAGAGTGTGTTCATATAGTCAATGCCAGCAGCATTTTAGTTCTTCTGAACTGAGAACAAGAATTTACATATGCATCAAGAGTTTGCACTTATTTTATTAATACATATTTTTATTTGTTAGATATTATTTTATTTTTGCTTTTCCATACGCTTAATACATAATACAGTTATGCGGAGTGCCATGTATACAATTTTACAAATTTCACATGAGCGAATAATGAATGATTATGGACATGCAATTGATTGACTATCGTGCATAGTATAATCCTTTGTAAACATTAAGAATTTAAGAGCGTATGCATGTGTACACATATCTGTGTGTTTGTTGCAGAGTACGCAATGACATACATACATATGTATATAATTTAGGCTGTGTTTATTGTTTACTTCGTTAATGTATATTACAAAATATATATTTATAAAGAATATATAGTTTGTGTAATTTACGAAGAACACATGTATGTAAGTATACTTGTATGAAAGGAGAGAACAAGGAGACCGAAGGAGGGAACAAAGGGAGGGATATAGTTGTATGTTTTTCCATTTTCAGTTTCGATCTTTTTGTGTTTTTTGTTTTCTTTTTTTTTTTTGCTTAGACGCTCTATTAACATGTTTTTTTATGCTTATACTGCAATTTAATTTTTCTTAGATTTTGAATCAATCCTATTCGGGTACGATCTCAGGAAATCCGGTAACTTCCGTTTGCTCCGCTACGGGTTGTCCATCGACAACATATGATATGCGTAACCTCATGCGAAGGGTAGCCTAAAAAGTTACGAAAAAAATTGTCAATAATGATCTCTAAGTGGAAATGTGATAGATTAATTTGTGATTTATACGCACATTGGACGAACTGACAACACGCATCTCTTGCGTTATAACACCACCCGGCAGTAATACCGATCCAGAAGGCGATAGCATTTGTAATGTGAATACTCTAGGAACTGCGGCCTGTGAAATTAGAAAGAATGTCGAAAATTAGAGAGGTTATTTACGAAATGTAGATTGCATAGTATGTATTATAATGCATTAGCAGTAGAACTTAATACATATTCTTCATGTGTATACGAGGGCAGGTTGATAAGTGTGGGGCAAAACCAAATATTTTCGGGAAAATTTTACTTTATTTTTCGACAAGCCTCCGAACTTCGGATGTTTTTTCGGCTTCATTTATTTATTTTGTTTTAAGCGCTTAAGCATTTTTTTATTGCGTTTTTCTCGAAACGACTTTTTTCACACTGGTGTACACGATATCTCCAAATCCACTGAACGGATCTTTATAGCACTGTTCAAAGCGCTTCATGAAAATCTGTCGTTTTCTTCAAACCACGGTTAATTTTGCAAAAAAAAATTAAAGAAGTCGTTTTTAAGCAAAAAACACAACCGGTTTTTCAATTTTCATATTAAAAAATTTAGGAGAACCGTTAATTTTTTCATGATCAAATGATCGGATCTAAAGCAAATTAATAAGGGACCACCTGTGAGATACTACCTTTCCGAAAGAAGTATCAAAATCGGTTAACGTGTTCCAAAGTTATGCGGTATCATATAAAAAAAAATATAAAAAATATTCCGACGAATTGATAACCTTTTCCTTTTTTGGAACTTGGTTAAAAAGGGGCGTATTCTTGTTTTCATACGAATCGAAAATTGTGAAATTTTCCAATTATGTATTTTGTAACCAAAAATTTCAAATTTTCGGTTCGAACGAAAACAAGAACACGATCATTAATTTTTTTTCCTGAAATTATTCTTAATTAATGAAGTTTTACCGATATTTTTAGCGAAATTTCTGCTTTATTTATTTATTTTAATTAACTACCGGCTCACCTGAAAGACGTACTGTTCCAATGTATTGGCTGAATTATTTGTTGTTCTCATAAATATCTGTAAACAGTCGTTGCCTCTTACCGGTACCAATTGTACCAGCAAGTCGTTCTTATCCAACGCTGTCAAAGTGGGACCTTGAGGCTATAGAAATGAAGATAAAAAAACAACAACAGTTATTTGTCAAATTGAGGTCTAAAAATTATGCATTGACAATATTTACCACAGCAATATTATTTGGTGGTGGAACATTCACAACTGGTGACGCTAAATCGGAGAGCAATGCATTGCCGGGGATAGCGCCTGGCTGCGATAAAATACTGTTCGAGCCTAACAGGCCGACGACACCGATGCCACCCCCACCACCGACATTGCCGCTTAGTGGCATTATACTCGCCAGATCGTTGCCATTTGTCGCCGCTGTCGTTGGTATTGATGCCGACACACCAACACTCAAGTCCAGGCCAAGCACATTATTCATATTAGCTGCCGCATTGGTGGTACCACCAGCTGAGATGTCCAAATCGAGCAAGTCAAGTATGGCTTGATTATTAGACGTTTCGTTAGCATTTTTAGTGTTTTTCTTTTGAACGGCAACCGAGTTTGACAAATCTGTCGCTGTGGGGGAAGTCAAATCGGCACCACCAAGTAAGTCCAGCAATATATTCTAAGACAGATAAATTTAAATAAGCGAATTTTTTAAATTAAGATGCGTAGTCTTCTGGTTTGGCAAGTGTTGACCTACCGTATTGTCACCCATCGTATTCATGTTGTTTTCTTTGCCCAGCTGTTGTTCATCGCCAATGCCTATGCCGTTTTCAATTAAATCGGGACTGTTGTCATCATACGAACCACTACTCTCGCCATTTTGCGAAGAGATCCGACTTATTTGCATTGGTGGCATTTTTTCCAACAACGGTGGACGCAAATTCTTGTAGGTGCCAAATAGTTGCGTGAACTCAACGCCACGCTGCTGCAAATCCACATTCAGATGACTGCCGAATGAGGTAATCAATGCCTGAATTTCTCTAAAGTAGTGATCAATTAATTAGAAGATGATATCATTGTAAAAGCCAATTAGTTTCTTATTACTTACTCTACACAATTCTGTAGACGCGTGCTTAGTTTAGCGAGTGACACTAAGGCGTATTGCTTGCTGGTTATTGATACTTGAGCAGAGGTTAAATACTTATGATACATGATGATTAAATCGCTTTCTGACGGACGTTCAAATTCTGTTAAATGTTGCACAAGAGTAGCGCAGTTAATGATAATATATGTATATTTGATATTAATATGAATTTTACTACGCACCATCTTCGTTTGGTCCGTACATAAAGAGATCACCATATTCGCCAATGGCCCACACAGCCACTTGCAGCAGCGGCTGCTTGTCTTCACAATGATTTGCGACCTGAAGCGACTCCCAGAAACGATTCGTTATGTATGTCTGCTCTGCGACAGGGCTGCTCGAGACCAATTGAATGGTGGATGAGACCACATCGTCGCGCACATAGTTGCCAGCCTGTTGCATAACAAAGATTGCATTATTGCAGTCAAATTATATAATTTTAAAACTTCATCTACTAACCGCAACCAATACACTCAGCTGTGTATCCAGATGCCATCTCGCATTGGGCGAGTAACGTTCAGCAGCCAAAATCATTCCCGAACTACATTGCGCTTTGAATTCGGGATCAGCCTTCTCGAGGAACAGCAACAACTCCTTCGTCATTGTACGAATATTTTGTGCATTAATTAGCGCAAACGAGAGTTCCATGGCGCGACGCCTTATCGAAACATCCGGATCTTTTAGGCACTCCAAAATAGTGGTGCGATGACGTTGCACCGCCGACGTGTCTGCATGTACAGTACGCAGCAACGTATTCAATGCCACATAACGAATATTCTTGTCGGAGTTAAGTAGAAAACGACCAAGAATATTGACGGCTAACACGCGGAGGCCACCTTCCGAGCTTTAGAAAATGTTTCGAGGAAATTTTATAGCGATTCATTAGTTAATGACGATAAATTAAACATACCGTATATCCATTATAGAGAGTACAGTCTCGTACAGAATGGTGTTGCCGACATTTTTACTTGTTTCTGTGTTGGTGGCTACCTGCGCCAAAATATCATTCATTGCCTCTGAGGCATCCACATCATTGTGACCGAGTATGCGCAACAAACGTAGAATTTTCACCTGCAGAAACGGATCACTCACACCACTGACATCATGCTCCGGGGAGTAGCCGCCCAAAATTAGATTCTTCAGAATACGCACCAAATTTGGCACAATCTAAATGGAATGAGATATGTATGATGCATTGGAAATATGTGGACTTAGTACAAAAAACGTTATTTTTTAAGTGAAGATAGAAGAACGAGTATAAGAAGTGGGGTGGTAATTGAAAGAAGCGCGCAGTAGGAAAGATTTGCAAGGGGTGAAAAGCGATAAAAAGTTCGGTATAAAGCGGTGAAGTTTGTGAGATGGAATGTAGGAAAACTGCATACAAGCTCGTATTTAGTGTTTCGAGGTGAAAGTGAGGTGGAAGCTCATGAAGAAGTTTATATGTAAAAGTGAATAGAATTGCGTAGGTAAAAAATAAACTTGGAAAAAGTAGTTTTTTAATTGAAAAAAAAGAGTGGATAGCAAAATTTTTTATTTTTTATTTCGATAATATTGAAAAGGTTTCAAAAAACGTTATCAAAAACAGCTGAACTAGCCTAAGCAAAGTGTAAAAATGAGGTTAGGACACTGTAAAAACTCTTTAAAAGTAATACTTGTGAAGAATTACTAGAATACGTGCAAGTCGTTAGTAATAATGTCAATTTTTCGTATAACATTAACATAAAATTATTTTCTTGAAATCTGATGAGCTATGTATAAATAAGGAGCTTTTAGAATATTAGCTTTAAGTTGAGTGCTTTTTTTTAATGTTCTTCTGTTTCCCTAACTTGAAGTGAAGGAATTTTTAGTTGTACTTGACGTTCGAGACGATGTTGTATTCATAATCGATATCGGGGCCCGCGGGACCCACGGTACTGATCCTTTCCCGACACTCCCGATAAAGTCGCAACCTCCGCAAATAAGCACTTTTTTATGTTTTATTGACAGTACCAGGTTGACCGAGCTTTAGTTGTAGAAACATAATTCTTTTTTAAGTCGACTTGGGCGGATATTGCTTATGACCACAGATATGTAGGTACCACAACGGGTCTATATTATTCGACGAGTGGAGAGCAAATTTGCCTAACTTAATGTACGCGCTTGATTGAGTTGTAGGCAAATTTAGGAGTAAGAACCTACATATATATAAAACCATTTCTCTTCGACTTTTACTAGATGATTGTTAGAGAGATTATCTCGGAGGTATTAAACTGTATCGAGAACTTAATAAACTTGATTTTTGGTTTGCAATATGAAATTATGTATTTGAGGCTTTGTGAAATTTGTAAAAAATACATATTTCTCAATTTCATCTATTTAGGAGTGGAACTTGAACAATATGTGTATGCGGAAATCCATGTGTATATGTATACATATGTAGTAAATTTACTAATTACTTATGCAGATAGATGGAAACAAACTTTTATTTAACTATACAAAATTTAACTAGAGTAAAAAATCAGCTTAAATTCAGTTTAGTTTTAAAAAGCATATTTTCAAGCTTAGCTAAAATATACATTGGTGTTTTGCGTTTTGCCTAAATGTTTATGTGGTTGTGTGCACGTATGTTTACATGCAAGTGTGTATGTATATATTTACGTGTATGTGTGCGCAAGTGTTGACAACTTTCGTCAAGGTCATACCTCTCGATTTCCGCTATCCTGGCAAGCAAATTACAAAAAGTTCGGGTTTGGTTTTGTATTGTATGCGAGGTTTCAAAAGAGTTAGCGATAAAATATTACAAAACAGTTAAATGTTGTAGTTTTGTTATGATATTTGATTTATTTATTGGAGAAACGCAAATTAAATATGTAGGTGTTAAAATAATATAAAGTTATGATGATATTTTTCAAAGGTTTTTAGAAAAAAAAAAAACAAATACATATAAGCTTCTACAAAATGGCTTGTAAAACATACAAAATTTTAAACGCACGATTCCGATTCGATGCTTGCTACAAAAATAATAAAAATGTTTTTTTTTTTTTTTTGCATAGATCAGCGCAAAGCCGTTTAATACAAAAATTTGTGTGTATGTATTTACTTATTACTATTGCGCACAAATATGTAGCTCAGCACAGCATTTAAATTTATTGTATTTACAAGAGCGTATGTGGGAAATCAAATGAATGTTCAAATGAAAGCGAATTTAGTAGCAGATACGGGTAGCAAATATTTTGGTATATTCACTAGCCAAAAAAATTCTTCACAATGGCAATGTTTTTTTGTTTTTTTACGCGAAAAAATTGCGGTTTGCCATGCGAATGATAAAAGTTGGTCTTTTTTACGGCTACCACCAAAATATTTTCCCTCAACTCAGTTGCGAACCTCTAAAAATCGCGCTTTTCGGCATACAATAGTAAATAAAAAAACCCCCAAGTTTGGTGTTTAAGCTATTACCAGAAAGATAAAGAGGATGTTCTCATTTTCGTTGTTGCTGTTTCCGACAGGGTAGGAGTATGATGTATTGTGATGATTAAGGATTTTGGGAACGATTTTCCGTCATCCCTTGCCAAATTTGGTTTGGAGAAGATGGCACAACGCCGAAACCGGTTTGTCTCCAAACCAAATTTGACAAGGCATGACGAAAAATCGTTCCAAAATACATCGTAAAAAGGATGCTTAAGAGGAAGTTTTTTATATACTATCACCGAGAGGTTAAAAAATGTGTAAATGACACCGAAACTAGCCGAATATTTTGGTGGATGCTATGAAATTTATCAAATTTTTTAAACCATTGGGGAAGGAAATCGATGTTTCTTTCTATGGAACGTAGCTTAGTCTAATGCATATATGTATTTATAGAGATAACTGCTGGAGAAACATTTATTTCAGCTGCTTTGTTTTATTCTATTGTATCTTAAATAATATATGATATACTCGTATGTATATATAAAGATATTCACACCCTCCTTGTTACTAGTTAATTTCTGTATATGATGAGGAATAATCAGTGTATTTTATTATTAGAATCTGTACTAAAAAATATAACCCCAAAAATCAGTAACCAGGAAGGCGCGAATACCTACAGTATTTAAGCTGTCTCATGAATAATTTTTCTTCAGCATGAAAAGTTCTTTCTTTCATTTAACCTGAAACAAATATATTGCTTCCTTAATAAGCAGTTATTAAGGAGACCCTATTTTAATTTTTGGAAATGTGTTCCTATATTATAATACGCTTTTTGAACGTTCCAAAAAGAATAAGCATAAAAAAATAACACTCAAGTCTATCGGGGCATTTACACATAAAAATTACTATTCTCCATTGTATTTTGTTGTTTTCGACTTAGAAAAAAACATAACCTCATAACCAGGTAACCTGATAATTAAGCAGGTGTGAATACGCTTCGATAACCCAGATATCTCAGGAGATTTGCGTATAACTAGTACAATGTATGCACACAGCGGTTATCCGCTCCGGTTTTTTGAAATTTATGGATACCAGTCTGGACACACTGCCAACGCCTTGGAAACAGCATGAAATATTCCCCAAAAATTTCATGGAGTGCTGCTTACTAGAGTGATCGAAAGGAGTGAAAGGGAAAAATGTACAGATCGGTGTTCATGCTAAATTAGGGATGGTAAAAGTGATATTATTTCTATTTTCGTTGCTCTGTAAAGCTATTGTTATTCCTATCTTTAAAAATGTCCAATTTGAAGGAAAGTTGATCGCAGTTATGCAGGTATCCGGAAATTTATTCATGAGACAGCTTTAATTTTTTTTTTTAATACATATAGTGTAACGCAAAAAATTACTAAAATTTACTCACCTTCTTGAAATGCATTAAAGTGTCGGCGCTGTTCTCGCACATTTCGGTGATGAGTGTAACGCCAGTAATTAATATGCCTATAAATTAAATGTATTTATTATAAATTTTTAAACAATTTTTTAGCTAATAAAAATGCATGCACATTGCACACCGTAATTTGGAACGGCTTAAAAACACATTACTTCTGACCTAGGCATGCCATTGATGGCATGACTCAAGGCGAAATTAAAAATTTAGAAATGTGCAATATCTATGCATACTAAGTAGATTGCTTTAAGTTATTTAGGTATACCGTGATTCTTCTCGCTAAGCAGTGAACGTGTGGCCGGTAAAAAGATTTCCATCAGTTCTGGTACTCGCCGTATAACACGAAAGGCGCACAGTGTTGCCTTTTTGCGAATGTAGGTGTTGGGCGACTTCATTAGGCGCTCAACCTCGCTAGCTAAATCACGTGCCATTTCGGGCGATGCTATGGCGCCCAGCGTGCACAGCGCCAAACCCACCACAAATTGTGTGGAACTATTTAAGTCACTGCAAAAGGCAACGAACGAGAATAAATGAAATGAAATACATGAAACAAAAGCAAATACATAAGTATTTAAAATGCAATAAAAGTACATCTAACGGCAAAGCTTATGCCAACTAAGGCCAGCATGCGCTTTAGGATCAAAAGAAAAGAAAACCATACAACAACAACAACGTCGTAATTTTCTAGTCAAGTCAAACAATTGATGCCAACAATCCAGGTAATTTTTTTTTTTTTTTTGATTTTCTTGGTGGCAATGACTTTGCTCAACTATCCGGCAGTTTTGGTAGTTCGCATGCAAGCGAAAGTTTATTTCCGCCAGCATAAATGGCCATAGCGGCGGTGAGATGGTATAATGGTGGAAAAGTGCTTACTTTTTGAGGCAATTCGTTATCAGCAGATGCACATCCTGACGTTCGTCTAGCAACAGCATGGCACCCAAATAGCCAATGCGTTTGTCGGTGAAACGTGTACTGGCGGTGAGCTTCAGACATTCCAGCTGTCCAAAATGCGCTGGATAACCCAACATGTGGATGTAGAGTAGTTTTGCAATATTGCGGCATCTAAAAAATAATAAAATACATATTAAATCGGTAAATTAATGCAGTATAAACTAGAAAATAAAATATGCATTTAAGGTTGGGTTTCTCAGATTAACTTGGGTTGGTAGTTTATATGTACATATGTATGTAGGTACATTAGACCGCACTAGAAAAAAAAAGTTCGCCGTACAACCCTAAGTCTAAGTACTATTTTTGTAAGGCCCATCGTACATTTCTCGTCATATCTGCGGCATTTAAGGTCAGGTCCATAAGTATTATATATAGATGTTCTTGTTACGAGCAGATAATTCCATTACTTACCCACCAGATCTCAGATCTTATTACCCTAATGTCAGTAAATTAAAGCTCGGCAAAAATCATAATATTTTTGCTAAAGAAGAATTTTGATTCGAAGGCAATTAAGATTTTGGTTTGCCGAACGCAATTTCACCTTTTTACATTTTACGCCATATCTGCGGCATTTACAGTCGGATCTGAAAATATAATATATCGATGTTTGTTTTTAATGGCAAAACGTATACTTTAGACGCGAGGAGTGTACGGCGAACTTATTTTTGTTTGCATGTAAAGAGGTAAGGTCTAATGTACATATAGAGTTACACATCGTCACCTGAAATGCAAAAAGACGTAACAAACATCGCCGCTGAAATACAAAAAGTCGTAACTAATAAAAAAAAAAAATCAAAATTTAGTTTTTCATTGATATGATCGATTTCATCGAGTTACAACTTCCACATCATTTTATGAAAAAAAATAAAAAATATTAGTCACGACTTTTTCCATTTCCATTTCATTTTCGATGTCGTTACGTATTTTTGCATTTGAGGTGAGTCAGAGTTTTTCGGGAAATTTTTTGAATTTTTGTGAATTTTATATAGAGTGCGAAACTTTGATTTATATGCTTTATGTTATAGAATGAACTACATTTTCGTAAAAAATGTATGAAAAAAATTTTTCATAACAACCATGAATATTATATTAGAACAAGGTGTATGCTAACTTTTGACTTTGACTGTAAACATATGTACAAATGTATACTTTGTAAGTTGCTAAAGCAAGTTGTTCGTTAACTTACCGCCACACCGAATCCTCCTCCCGGAAAGTGCTGCGGATGTAGGCACATTCTTTGTTAACTACAGCGCGCTCTTCTGCGGCTGTCCTGGCGGCGCGTATTTGCCGGATGAGATCTCGCAGACGTGTGGGTGTTGGCATTCTCACTGCATTCGATATTCGCGGCAAGGTAGTCATATGCAAAAAAAAAGATAAAATATAACATGAATAATATGCATAAGTAAAAGCGATAGTTTGCAAATGGCTTAGGTTCTTCTCTCGTGTGTGGGCTAAGTTATCTGTGTCTTTGCATTAGCCAGAGACACGCTAGCTTTTCTATTTCTTTGCGTTTGTATTTAGTACTGTGACGTGTCTTATGTCGCTATGCGCCTATACATATGTATGTGTGAATGCGCTTAAGTATGCTTCAGTGGGTGGTAATGATTTATGAAATTTGCTTAACGTCCGACAAGTGTTAATTGAAAACATCGTTGAGTTCTCTAGGCTTTAGCACGATGTCATTCAATTAGATCAAAATACATATACATACATACGTATGAATGTATATTTATGCATGTATGTGCACGTGCATATGCTCAGTCAGTCAAAGAAGCACAAATATCGCATTGCTGTAGGAGACAGGGCTAGGCTGAGATACAAAAGCCATCAAATAACTTAAACCATACTAAGTTGCCACACTTTGTCGTACTGTTGGCATTTTTTTTACTTTGTTGTTCTCTTTTGATACACCTACCTCGTTCGACGGCCTCTGTGAATGCCTGGCGTATGGTCGCCATATTAAAGGCTGGATTAAATCTGCAATTGTACAAGAAGATGAAGACAAGCGGAGCGGACAAGCACCACAGGAAGGAAGAAAGTGATTAGTTCAACATGCAATGGATATACATATGCTTTATATATGTATATGAGTAAGATTGCAGGAATTGATTTAGTAGTAAATACGAGCATAAGTACAAAGTGTTGTTTTTTTTTATAAACATAAGTTTAAGTATGGCGTCATCTAATGGCACTTCTAATCAAATCGCTAGAACGGATATTGCGAATAGAGCATCATTCAATTAAAAGCGCCCTGATTTAGCACATTATCTTAAAACTATCGTAGCGACATATCCATTTTCAGTAAAATAATTCTAAATATACATATGAGCAAATCTCACAAGTAATTACATTTTTCGAAAAAAAACCTTTTTTTTGTTAAAAAAAGGTAGTACATACACCTATCTTAGAAAATGCATTATCTTCGGTTTTTTATAAAGAACAAGATTCCATCACGAAATTGTATTTAAATGAAAACAAAGTATTGGCACAGCAAATTTTTCACAATATATGCAACAATTTTCATTCTAATATTTTTCCGCTAATTTCGTATAAAAATATGGTTCATTCTACAACAAAAAACATAAAACTATAATTCTTAAACTTTGTGCAAAATTCGCGAAAATTCGGCATATTTTCATGAAATTTTTCAATTGTTTAATCAGATTTTTTTAGAATTTTTTTGAGTATGCAGGTTTGTATCCCAATCAATTTTATAAAGTGCAAGTTTTAAGTAGCTAGGAATTACCGTTGCTTTTTGGCATTTTTTTTTGCGCAGTCTCTTCCATACACAAAATTTTTTTCGGAAATACTTTATATGGAAAAAATGCAAAACTTTGCTGATTTTTCGCCAGTTTTGCACAAATATAATTATATTTTTATGTTTTTCATTGTTGAATGAACCACATTTTTATACAAAATTGGTCGAAAAATATTAGAATAAAAATTGTTGCATATATTGAGAAAAATTTGCTGTGCTAATACTTTGCTCCGCCAGTGTATGTACATACCTACTAAAAAAAAGTAAAAATAACCCACTCATGCTCATATACTCGTAGTTGCGTATATAACGTATACGCCCCGTAGCACAATACGCAGTCATTTAACACGTTTACTCGCACGACTTAACTCAAAAATCATATTATTTAAAAGTAATTAAATATTGGCGTGGGGGATTTTTACTTTCTTCATGTATGTACATATATAACAATTTTAGAATGAATTTCGAGTGTACCAATAAAAATTGTAAAAAATGGAGTTTTAGTTTCTCAAATCATAGTCATCTTTTACTCAATGTAATTTTTTTCTTTGGATGACACACTAGTTTTATTACACTAGATTCGTTTCTTTTGGCAAGAAGAACATCATCACAGTTTAATTTTGAAATTTTGAAGAATCTTAAATTATTAACATTTAAAAAATCGTAAATTTCAAATTTTACAAAAGAGCTGCGACAGATACTCTGCATGCTGCCATTTTTTTTTATTTCGTGGTACACTCTTTAAACTTCACAGATATGTTTTATTCGATGCCAACGTCCACTGCCTCTAATATGAACATTCTATATGAAAACTTCCCAAAGTTATTAAAAAAAAAACAATTATGATTTTCTCGAGTGACAACGAAAAATTTAGTAATTTCGGTACTTTTCGCCTAAATAAACGCTTTAATGCTATATGTAATTGTTCAAATACTTGATTTATTTTTTATTGTACTTGTTTCTGGAATTCCACTTACTTTTTACTTTTACTGCCCTTCTCTCGGCAGGGAGGGACAATAACTTGTGAGATTGGCTCACATGCGCGTCTAAATAAATATCTCTTTATAGGCCATTTGAAAATGATATTGTTTGCAATTCCTGTTTGTTTATTTATTTTTAACAATTTTCATTTAAAATATACATAGTTCGATTTATAACAGAAACCACCGAAATAAAAATTTCAAAAATTGCACAAAAACTGTTTATCAAAATTTCAAACTTTTTATTCAGAATGTTTAGAAAATTTTCGAGTGCGCAGTTTGGTAGCCCATTCAGTTTTATTATGATAAAGAGCAAGTTTTAAGTCACTAAAAATTACCTTTGATTTTTTAGATTTTTTTTTTTTGTCGAACAAAAATCTATTCCTTAATGGAAGAAAATGGCGCAGCACCCTAGAAAAAAAAAAAATTCTAAAAAATCAACGGTAATTTCAAGTGACTGGGCCACAAAACTGCATACTCGAAAAATTTCCGAAAATTCTAAAAAAATGTTTGAAATTTTGAGGAAAACTTTCCGAAGTTTAATTCATTTCTGTGAACTTTGTGCAATTTTTAAATTTTTTTTTCTGTGGTTTCCGTTATAGATCGAACTACATTTAAAAAAAAAAAATAATTATTAAAAACTAAATAAACAGGAGTTGCAAACAATATCATTTTGAATTTTACTGCTATTATTTTGACCGCTGTTGATTCCCCCATTCACTGGAATACGCACATATTTTTCTTCAAGATCCGAGCTGATTTCATTTTAATCTCATTTCGAATATGGATTAATTTCGAAGAAATATGGTTAAAATTTAGAACATAATATATTATAAGATATGTAGGATATTGTAAGATGTTATATAAGATATTATCTGGATTACTCGGATTTTTATTCCTCCATTTATTAAACTAAGCATACGAAAAATCTGCAAATTTTTTTTTATTCAATTGAATAAGTCCGACGACGTGCGGAAGAATGTTTTAAGGCCGGGTAAAAATGGGAACGGTGACTGATGCCAGATGCCCAGAATACTCTTCAGTTGAGGAGAGAAAACTTTTCAACCCCGCTGAATAGCAGCAATAACGAAATCAGGAAGGAGTTGTGGCAGAGTAAAACGCGGGTCTAAAGAGGCAGCTGAATATCTTCCCCCAATGACGGCATTCACTGAGCGAGAGTTGGCGAAGATACTGGTAAGAGTATCTTCCTGAAAGCCGTTTAATACCTGTCTGTGCAGCGTCGGGTCACGTGAGTCATTGGCCCTTATGATTGTGTGCATGGAGAATGAGCAGGCTGTCAAAAGTAACCGCTAGGATTTGGAGCTACTCACAGTAGAAATGGCAGGGCCAGCTTGACCACATTCGTCTAGTCAGCGAAAATGGTTGCCGTGGGGGAGATGGTTATGCTCCAGGCGGTGAATTAGCAAGCTGAGCTGTATCAGAGAAATAGCCGACTATTTTCGAGCGCAGGCCATCGGCGAAACTCTGTCAGACGGCTATGGAGCTTCGATGCATAGAAATTAAACAAAAACGGTACGACGACATCACCTTGAGGAAATAAATAAATAAATAAAAATAGATGGCGTTTGCCCTTTGACAGGTGCAACGTTATCAGCACCTATCCGTCACATTGTTGGTTTCGATTAAAGACGCAATCTAATAATTTTAGACTTAACTTAGCTAAACTACAGGTCTGTATGTATGTATGTTTGCTTAATATTTGAACAACTAATTAAAATTCAAATTTTGCATTTGTTTAGCCTTTGACCCATACCTGAAGAGTGTTTTTAAAAATTTCATATGTTTAAACATACATACAATACACATAGGTATGAGTTTACATTAGGCTGGATGAATTTTTTTAGGGGTAAAAAAAGTTATTTGATATTCTTATACAGTAGTGATCAAATAAATGTTTCCATTATTAAAAATTGGTTTATTCGCATTAGTTTCGATTCATACTTTGGTGTTAGGTCATTGGCATTCATTAGTGGAAATTTAAACGCTTCTGGATATAATGATAGCATGAAAAACTTTTTGTAGCTCTCGTTATAGGCTCTGTCGGCTTTGGCTGTCAGTCCCATTTCTTTTTAAAAACATTACCGAGAAATTTAACCCTTTTTTCTTTCAGATAACCAAATATTTAAATTGAAACGGCATAACAACTCTTAAGTGGTGCGGAAATGTATACATAGCCCGGTGGAAACACTGGAAGGGGTAGACGGTTGATCTAGGGCACAATGTATATTCAGGAATTGTAAAATGAAATGATATTTATATACAAATCGTCGTTTAAAGTACAAAACCGCGTATCGTCATTCTGCAAAACCGAGTAACTAACATTGGCTGCCAAAAATTGGATTTGGTCACACAAGCTCTTGGTCCTTATCCATTCGTTCGGAAATATACTTGCCAGAAATGCGATTGCTTTATAAAAACGAGAACCATTTTGAAATATGAGTGTTTTTACGCTCTAGAAAATAATTTATGCAACCTCACATACACGGTTTTGCATTTTGGTGATACGCGGTTTTGCACTTTAAACGACGAAATATATTTGAAGTCGGGCGGGTAAACTACCTACCCCCTATTTGAACAATAGTTTTCATCAAAACTAGTATCTATAAAGGTTCAAAAAATAAATGGACGAGTACTTCAAATATCATTGCTTATATATAGGTATCTAACTGATTTTGTACATAGTAGATACTTATCGTTACCTTAATTCACAAAGGCCCGAACCAGCACTTTTTAAACTACAAAGAGAAGGTTATCAATTTGTCGATTTTTTTTAAATGTATGTTACCGCATAACGTAGGACCACGTTCACCGATTTCTATAAATCTTTTTTTTAAAGGAAAGGTGGTCCCATACTAATTTGGTTTAAATCCGATCATTGGATCCTGAAGAAATTAACGACAATATTAAATTTTTATATGAGAATTGAAGTCGACCCATCAATTATCCAGTTATCGGAACTAAACAAAATTAGTATGGTACCACCCTTGAGTTACCACCATTCCGATGAACAAATTATCGAAATCGGGGGACGAGGTCCAAAGTTATGCCGCAACATACATAAAAAAAAAAAATCTGTCGAACTGATAACCTTCTCCTATTTTTGAAGTCGGTTAATAAAATTGTAACAAACCGATGTCTGTACATTATAGATTTAAAGAAAAATTAATATGGGGGTCTTTATTAAGCAACAGAAGCCAAATAAACAATTTTTAGAATCT